GAGGAAGGTGAAAACCCCCCAGCGCCTCTGCCAATCTGACTGGGAAGAAAATTCCTTTCCGACCCCAAATATGGTGATCAGTTAGACCCTGAACATGTGGGCAAGACCCACCAGGCAGATACCTGGGAAAGAATTCTCTGTACTAATTCAGTTGGAAAAATCTGGGAGAAGAAATATTTTCTCTCAGTCCTCGTGTCTGTCAGGAAGTGTCATAGTGCATTCTCCAGGTGAAACTTTTTCTCTGATATAAGTTCACTTTTGTTACATCTGATTGAAACCTTGTCCTGGACAAAGGCTGTCCCATACAGTTGCTTCTGCAATAATTCCTCCAGCTTGTGGGAAGTGCACTAGTTTTATCCTGACATAATTGTTATCTTTCAGTTTGGCTAGGGGAATTTTCTTTTGACAACTGCATTCTCTTTTGTTGCTCTGTACTGAAATATTGTCCTGTACTCACCCCTAAGCTTCTAGTATTAGTAACGTCTGGAATTCTGTCAACTGTGACTGTGAACTACTTTATTATTTCGTATTAGCCTCGTCTTCATCTCATCCTCCTATCATATGTCACTTTCAGCATAATGACTCCTCACAACTTAAAGAAAATCAGACTCAGGAACAGCAGCATCCTGCGCATGATATAGTTGGCATATGTAGTTTTGAACACTCTCACAATGTATGCAGTTGTTTGCATAAATCAAAAGAGAAAGATGGATGGTTGACTGTGTCCTCTCTCACCCTGGCTTCATATCCTGGAGATAATGGGAATGTTGCATGTGGTAAGCAGTTTAGTTATATTCTCTGCGTTGCTTGCTGCATAAATGTAATTGTGCAGGACTTTCTGAAAAACAGCGTGCTAATTGTAGCCAGTAAAGTTCTATGCCTTTCTCCACCTGAGTTTGGCCCATCACATCTGGAGGGAGCTGGGATTGCTGGAGTAATACCATGGAGTTCACTATGTATATAGAATCATAGAAGTGTAGGGTTGGAAAGAACTTCAAGAAGTTATCTAGTCCATCCCCAGCTGAGGCAGGATGTAAGCTGTGCCAGACTTTTTAAGCATTCTACATGTGGTGCAAGATGGACGCCGGCCCGCATTTGACGCCAGCAGACTAGTGAACTTGTTCTTCGATACTTGTTTCATACCATGTCTCTTTTCCTGCTCATGGGAGAGGAAGGACAATAAATTAATAACAGGGCTCCTCAGTGGATAGAGGATGGCTTGTCAGCATGAATCAGGACAGTGGCAGCTGTAGCCTGGGGAGAGGAAATTGTGGCCAGCACTGACATAAATGGCTGTGTTGAATATACAAGCTGTTCTCCAGTGCGCGTTCAGAGTTTGTGTTCAGTGCGGTGTAAGACAGTTGGTATGTACTGTACAAATCATATTCAATAATGCTTTGGCAGTGACAACTGTGGGACAGTACTTGGGAACTAGACTGGCAGCGGTTGCTGCTTCTCTGTTGACTTTCTTGTCACCATGTTGATGATGTGACTGACTGACTGACTGCTTTGAAGTGTGTGAATGAAACAAATATGGCCTATAACGGCAGGGTCCTGAAAGGCGCTGAGCTTCCTTTGGGAAGTGAGAACGGAGGATGTGCGGTGCCTGAGAGGATCAGGCCCTACAGCTGTAACCTGTGGGGTGGAGATTTGGAATTGTGGAACATCCTTCCCCCATTTATTTAGAAATTCCACTTGACAGGACTCTAAGGACTCCCATGGTTTTAAAGCAAAATCAGTAGAGAAATAAATCCTTCAGCAATTGCACATCTAACAATTATTTCTTAAATTTATGTAAAGCTGAGAATTCCCTAAATCATGATGTTTAATTTAACCCCCTCCAAACAAAACAATACCCACGAACAAAATTAAAAACAAACTTAGTTGATTTGTTAAATGCCTAGAACAAATGTAACGTTGTGTCTAAACTTTGTCCATTCAAGACTGTATGTAATATTAGCATGGAACCTATTTTCAGAAGTAAGCATGTGCAATTGCGTGCATACATATATGTGTGTTGAATTTATGAGTGGAAATGCGCATTGGGTATTTGCGCAAACACAAGGCCAAACTGATTATGTGCGTAGTAAACATCTATTTTTATTCACAACACATTTGTTACTCGCATGCATATGCTGCGAGGTCTGCTCAGATGTGTGCCCCGACTTTGAAAAATCGGCCCTACACATTTTAAAAAACAAAATTTCCTGTATAGGCACATGCTCAGACATACGCACATTCGTTCACGCTTGTGGCTAAATCCTCATTTGTTTGTGATCTGTGCAGTTAACTAGGACAAAAACATGTATCCTTTTGTCTCTTGTCTGTCTAGAGAGGGACGATTAGATCTTTTAACCTTACAATTAGTTATTCATCCCTTAACTCTTAAGGTTGGATAGCCATCTCTTTTCCAGACAATTTCCAACCCCAGATTTCCTGTGATTGGCAAACCAAAAGTGGATTTTGGCCCCGTACTGGCTTTACCAGTTCAGAATCCAAGTCCAAAATATAATTCTGTACTCTCATCCCTCTTTTATTATATCTTTCTACTAGTTAAACTTTGCATGGCACCAGCTGGTTTTAACCTTGCAGCTGGCACATAGCAATGAGCAATGTTTTGAAATCAAATGATAGGTGTAAAAAAAATCATTGGGAGAACTTCAAAATATATATTCTAACATATGAAGGCTCTTAGAAAAATTTAAAAAAACTTTGCTGGTCATCTTTAAAAGTATAGAATGAGTATTTTGAGGGATGGTTATTTGTCCTCATCAGAATAGTTTTGTAAGGAGTTTTTATGGTTGTTCTACATCCTAAATGTTTAATTTTCAGATGTTTCCTGTTTGTGAAAACATTTGTATGAATAGACATGTTGAGATGTCTGTTCTCTGTTAATAATTGAGGCCAATGCTTTTTGTTCTTCATAATTTCTCACTTATTTTCAGTGTGTTTCACTGTCCAGTCACTTAGTTGTTTTGACTGTTTTTCTTTTGTTTTTGAAGTGGACCCAAACACATTGAAATGATTTTGGTGCTACTGTTCAGGAGATAACAGCACATATTGTTGGAGCCCGTCATAGCATTTTTGGGTTGATTTTTGAAAATTTGTGTGTCCTTATGTCCAGAAAGTAAATGATTATTTTTCTTAAATAAAAGTGTTTTGCTTTTTTTTTGAGGGGAGAGGTGGAGAGAGTGAGCGGGCTGCCCAGCTTTTTATGTCCTGCTAGTCTTCTGCTGCAGGAAAACTGCTTATGCTGGCATCTGTGCATAGATACAAACATTAAAAAATATTTTTTCAAGGCACAATTCAAATGAAAGGAATTTTGTGTACATTCTGATGAATTTTAGCATGTTTGTAGGTCTTGGAAAAGGCTATCTTACTGATAGCCATTTTACTGATGTGGAAACTAAGATAGAAAGGTTGTGACTTGATTAAGGCCACAAATGGAATTGGTGCTAGAGATGGGATTGGAACAGAGGAGCCCCCAATGTGATTCTCTAGACCAGGCTGCTTCTCTGCTACTGACTTGCTTCATTATGGCTAGAGGACATAGCAGCAGCTCAGCAGAGGAGCTAATGTATCTGGAAGAAGCTGGTTGTGAGGGAGCTTATAGAAGTCCTAACGTCATCAGTGGCAATTTAGGCTGCTCCAGAGATTAGTCTGGGATCTTCCCTCAGCATTTATGGAAGGGACAATTCATTTTGGTCTACCCACAGTTTTTGTACCACTATAACTATGTTTGTTGGGGCGTGTTTGTGTGAATTTTTTATTGATAGAACTATAAAGGGACTGTATACAGATTCAGTTTGTGAAGACCTTGGCTTGGCACCTAGAAATGTAGATGTAAAAGGCATAATTGTAGACATTTAAGGGAAGTATTTCTCTTGCAGCAACACAAATATCTCATCATATTATGTTCTAACAATAGGATATAATCACAATTTATGGTAAAATGAAAACAAAGTTATATAATGGAGTGTCAGGCAACCTTATTATAGGAGATATATATACATATATTAAATGCTTCCTTTCTAATGTCTGATACTATAGTGAGGTCTGTTCTAAAAGAGGGAAAGGGTAGGTAAAGACAGTCTTCAGATGTGCTACCTCTTTAAGAGCTTGTTTAGATGAACAGTCAATTTTATCTCGCACTACCCTGCTGCTCTTCGGCTGTCTGTGTGGACCCTGCTGCCTTGTGCTAAATGTTCCCTAGTGCACTTTGATCTATTTTGCTTTGAAACTGGAGTAGCTTAAAAGTGCACTAGAATGTTTAGTGCACAGCAGCAGGGTCCAATGGACAGTTGGTGTGCAGCAGGCCCGTATGAGCGATAGTGGAAGATTTCTGTGATTGTTGCTAAGAGGAGAAGTTGTGGGGTAAGCAGAGCCAAGGAGGAAATCAGCGTGTGTCTTCTCTCTGCTGCTTCTAAAGATAAGTAATACCGAAGTGTTTGTTAATGATTTATAATTATTGATAGAGTTGAGGAAAAATTGTTGTTTTTCATAAAAAACGCATTGTGACAATAAATGGTAGGTTTTCTTTCTAAGGGGTCAGTTTTGTCACCCTTAATCACATCAAACAGTATCTTATTCTGTGAGTCGCCCTGTGAAATCAGTTGGAGTAAAGTACCACTGTGAAGTAAGGTTGGAAGAATTAGGCCCATAGTGAATAGCACAGGAGTGTTGCGATTGAATTAAGTGGGGCCTGGATTTCACCATATAGTTAAAATTCTTCCCGTCAAGACATCCAGAGACACATTGACCCAGAGAGCACATTATTGACCTCCTGGAATAGAAAACACCATTTAGTCTAAAGAAGGGCAGTATGTGTAAATATAAGACTGCAGTATTTATTTGTTTCTTGTCTGCATAACCTAGAGAACACACGTATAGAAACAGATGAGAAATTTAATTTTATGCATTCTTTCTTTCCCAAAGTAGTAAACTTTATCTCCTTGGTATGTGTAATGGTTTGCATTTTAAATAGTTCTTTCTGTTTTTAGGTTATGGTCAGACTGGTCCAGCGTTTCAGCGAGCAGGTTATGACTCTGTTGCAGCGGCTGTTTCTGGTCTTATGCATATCACAGGGCCGGAGGTACTCAACTTTATTGTAAATTTAGTAAAGACCTTTTTCCGTGCACTGAAGCTTTGTGATGTACTTAATAAAATGGCCTGTAGAAATAAAAAGAATTAAGGAGGTTGGTATCTGGAAAAATGAGATTTAAGATGGAAGAATGAGTCAGCAATGCAAGTCTCTTGAAGCAGTGTTCTCCCACAACAGGACAATATTGGCAAAAGCCTGGAATTTAGAATTAGCTTATAATAAGATAATAGATTCTAGAAACGAGCTAGAAAGTGACCTTGGTTCTTGGTGGGTGCGTATATGGAGTGTATACAGCTAGAAAAGCATTCTGGAATGAAGGGTCTTAAATGTCATATTCAAAATCTTAAAATAAACAAAATGAAGGCATTTAAGTAATCTAGCTAAAGTATTTCTAAGGTTCTGTTCCCTTGGTATTTAAATGCATAATATGTGTGAAAAGGGACATTGAAAGATCCAGTAATCAACATGAGTTTGAATAAATTGTCAGTGGCTTAGTGTGGCAGAGCTCTGACCTTGTCCCCGTGGGTCCCGTGCTTCTAGGCGGTATATGCTAGCCTCAGTGGCTCACTGCGACCCTCCACGTAGCCCTTCTCTCTCTACGGCCAGGGTTACAGTCTACTGAGCTCTTTTCATCATAAGCCAGCAAGGAGGTTGGTGTGAGAGCTCCCACAGTCTCTGTTGTCCCTAGGGGCTTGTTTCAGAACAGTTTAGCCTCCTGTCCTGACAGGGGCCTGACTTCCCCACCCAGGAGGTGTTCCTGTAGTGGTGGGTTGGGGGGAACCCGGGCCCGCCCTCTACTCCGGGTTCCGGCCCAAGGACCCTAATGGTAGCAGCTGTTGGCAGCCAACCTTTCATTGCCAGAGTTGCTACATTTCCCTGGGCCACTTCCCCACAGCTCTCCTGCTTCTCCCTTCTTCACCCTTACCTTAGGGCTCCCTTACCAATGACTTGAGGGTGTCTTCATTAACCAGCCCTTAAGCCACACTTCCTCTCCTCTGGCTCCCTGACTCTTCTCTGCCTGACTGGAGTGAGCCCTTTTATAGTATCAGAGAGGTCTTAATTAGAGTCAGGTGGTCACATTAGCTTAATGCCTCACCTGACTCTTTGCAGGTTAATTGGAGTCAGGTGTTCTCATTAGCCTGGAGCAGCCCCTGCTCTGGTCAGTCAGGGAACAGAAAACTGTTAATCAAGTGGCCAGTATATCTGCCTTCTGCTACTCTGCTGTACCCAACTGGCCTGGGTCCATCACACTTAGTCACCACAGATTAAGTGGTGAATAAAATATCCTATACAAAGGCTGTGATTTTTGTTAATTATGACGTAACAGAAGTAGGGAAGGAACAGCCAGGCATCTCCTGCCCACACAAGCTCTCTGGCAGGATAAATGAAGAGCAATTCCCAAACAAATGGCTGTAAAAGGCAGAGGAGACATGAAGGAGACATTACCTCTAACCCTCTCCTGCAAAATCTGGGGATCAAGACCAAGAAAGCTACAGACTCCCTTCCTCCTCCAAACCTTTTCCTCCTGCCATGGATGAAGGTTTAAGTGAAGGGTGCCTCTTTCTGCACCTGACATTGAAACCCTCCCTACGCTGCACAGCAGGGGTTTCTGCCCATGCCTCTCTGCTACCTTAGTTAACCTGTACTGGGCACATGCTGTATGGTTGTGACAAATAAGTATCACTACTGTAATACTCCCTCCCTAGTCAAATCTCCTGTGTGCTCCGAGGAAGGGAAAACCCCACCCCTCTAGTTGCCAATTTGCAATGTGCAAGTATGATTGGTGGGAACTAAGGGTCCCCGAGCTCTGCCCAAGCCCTACTCCTGCATGAGGCTGTTTTTACAGATGGGGCACCACTGTTCCTCATGCTAGCTAAGGTCCCAGAGGTATCTATCCCCAGCTGTCCAGCCATATCTCAAGAGCTCTCTCCTCCACTTTCCCAGCGAGTGAGGGGGATGGCTGGTATTTGGGTAACATAGATGCTCTTAACCACTGAAGTTTAATAAAAGGAATAATCCAACCATCAAGAACCTGGGAATGCCCCCAATATTTTGTGCTAGTCATAAAGAGGCCTGGATTTTCTATGTACTTAGTAAATAAAATCAATAAGACTGTATGGAATTAATACAAGGATGAAATGACCAATTTCAAAATTACAATAATAAATTATAAGTAAGTTCCCTGCCATAGGGAGCAGTGAAATTTGAGAAGAATTTGACTTGGAAATAGAGGCTCAGAATTAAAAGTAGATGTTCAGTAAGAAAGGGTTTGACAGCCAATCAGAGATGTCGGTCATGAAATGAGAACTATGAAGACCAAAAGCCTCTGAAAATACAGAAAAAGAAGTGTCTGTTTGAAAGTTTGCCAGAGAGCAGGGGTATGAAGCCATGTGAACCTGTAATGATTTGGTGGACCTGGAGTGGCAGCAAGAAAAGTGCTGTAGCAGAAAAAGCAACTAACAAGAATATGGGAGAGGGGGCCTGTTGTTTCATAGACATGATTTCAGCAGAAACTCTAAGTTAAATTGAAAATTTATTGGCTTGTGTGTGGAGTTCATGAATGACTTTTGACATTTGTATATGAAAGTTGACATTATTTAAAGTTCTTTCCCCCACTATTTAATAAGCAATTTATTCAGCTGTGGTTGCTCTCTAATATCCTCTAACTCCAAATGTGAATGTGCACAAACTTGCCATTTTTGGGAAAGCGAGAAGGGAAGAGTAACAGCTGAGAGGAGTGGTGGCCTTGAGGTTAAGGCATTGGACTGCGGCTCAGTAAACCTGGGTTCAATTCCTTTTTATGCCACAGACTTCCTGTGTGATTGTGGGAAAACCTCGTTATACCTTATTTGCTCATCTGTAAAATAAGGATAATATTTCTTTTCTCCTCCACCTTTTGCCTGTCATGTCTATTTAAATTGTAAGCTCTTTGGGGCCGTGACCGTGTCCTACTATGTGTATGTAAAGCAAATTGCGCTGTGAGTCCTTGTTCTTGGTTGGGGCCTCTAGATGCTACTTGAATACAAATAACTTATATTAGATAGGCAGTAGAGAGCTCATGCTGCCCAAGGACTTGTATTGGGCTTGTTTGGCAAGGAACAGGTCACAGAATTGAAAAGAAACAAGGTGGTGGAATAAATACTGAAAGGCACCCTGAAAACTAATTTTGTTTTAGTTCATGTAATGGTGATGATGGTGATGACATGTCTTGTTGCTCCATTCTTGTTGTATAATACATACAGTATGTGGAATAGATCACCTGGCTGTGAGGTTCTCCTTCGAGTATGTTTCAGTCAGGATCCCACTGTAGGTGCACATATGCCTCGTGCCTGTGAGATTGGATTTTTTTTAATAGCAGTGTTCATTGGGGCAGCTCATGCACCTCGTGTCACCTCATGCTTCTGTGTGAGGGCATAAAGGACAGACAGGTGAAACTCTCCCTCAGTTCCCTCTTACCACCTATGGCAGTGAGGTGGAACCCACCGAGTGTCCCACCTGCTATTTTTCTCTGAGGTTTAAACTCGTCTTCTAGATTAGTTTGTGAAGAAATACTTCACCCATCGTACCTTTGTTAGTTTTTTAAATTTGGATTCCTTAAAAAAGCCATCTAAACAGAAATACATCTCCCTGTGAAACGGGGCAAGGTCCCTCGTGCCAACCTCCATGGTGGACTCTAAACCTTAAGGGTTTAACCCTGTACGACCTCCGATGGGTTCTTTCTCCTGGTTGATGGGCCTAGCTGATGCCTTTTCAGTCTGGGGGAGAGCCACATCCCTGAAAAGTGCTTTTGTGTGTAAATCCTTCGTGGCAAGGGCTGCAAGTGGAGGGATGTACAGTTGAAATTACACTTACTGGAGCAATTGATGTGTATCGCTTCAGACCCAGAGGAGACATGCACCTCCAAGGAACCAAAAGGGTTGTCCGTGAGGATGACTTCATAGGGTGCCAGTCTAGTTAGGGTCCAGCAGCAAAAAGAAGTCAGGGAAGAAAACGCAGTTGAAATTGATTTCTGGTCACATTGACGCTGATCACCCTGGCACCAGGGCATTCAGCAGTAGTGCTGGCAACCACTTCAGCACCAGAACACTTGGCACTGACCATGTGTCACTGGAGCCAGCACACCCCCCCCCCCCCCAAATCTAGTGGCAATGGCAAGAGGAAGGGCTGAATGAAGACCAGAGACGGCTCCGAGCATAGAGAGGCCCCGCCTCTGAGAGTGGAAAAGAGGCATCACTTCTCTAAGGATAGGTGTCTACATCCAATGCCAAAGGAGTGGTGCAAAGTATGCTGACACTGCTGGCATCAGCACCGCTAAAGATATCAGCACCAACCTTCAGCTTGGTCCAATTGTGGGATCAAGGTATGCCCTAACAAAACTGTCAAGATCTCTGCTGGGGACAGCATTGGCAAGGGAACTGGAGCAACGATATCGAGACATCATACTCAAGGAGACACCCATCATCTATTTCCTGTGTCACCCATGCTTGACTGTCATCCAATTGGGAGCCAGTCTTTGGTAGCTACCTTGCCCCTTTCCATCAGGTTTGGTCCGATATCTCCTCAGAAAATGGTTGTTTGAACATAGTTGCCCACAGATGTTCCAGTCATTCCCACAATCTTCTCCCTACCTAATCCTTTTCCCTATCTCTTCAGAGACCCTTCTTACAAGAAACTATTACAAAAAGAAGTGGCCTTGTTGCTTCATCTAGGATGTTCCTCAGGAGTACAGGGAAGAGGCTTCCACTCCTAATATTTTTTTTCCCTGAAGATGAAAGATCTTCATCCTATCCTAGACCTGAGAAGACCAAACAAATATATACACCACCTCAGATTCAAGTGGTAGTGCTTGCCTCCCTCATTGCATCTCTTCAGGCTCAAGACTGGTTTGTGTCGTTTGACGTACAATATATATGACTTCATATAGTCATCCACCTGACCTGCAGGAAACACTTGACATTCATGATGGGATCAAATCATTACCAGTACAAGGT